CATAAAATAGGGAGTGTAAGTCGTGTGTAAAGATGAAAATTCCCGGGTACGGTTACCGCACTCGCCTTCGGCTTGAATTTTCATCTTACCTCACTTGTTACACAAATAACTATTATATATTATTATTACTTCTATATAAGCCTGCTATGATGAACAAATTAAAAAGTTATATAGATTGACGCATCATCAGATATTTTCGTCAGGTGAACGACATCGCGGAGAGTCTCAGCTTGTCAAATTGCCTGGATACATTGGCCAAAAAATTAAGCGGTGGCGAACGAAAGAGACTCTCCATCGGCGTAGAAATGATCACCAAGCCATCCGTTCTCCTATTAGACGAGCCAACAAGCGGTCTTGATAGTGTGACATCCAATCAGGTATGATGATAAATTAATGCATATTGATGCATATTAATTTATTGCTGCAGATTACATTAATAGCGATCGTTTTTACAGGAATATTCGCTATTAGCCGACATAAATCGATATTTATTTTTCTTCTAATTCTATTAATAATTCATATACAAAAGCAAAAATATTCCAGCAATATTCCTGCGACGTAGCTGGAATATTATATTTTATTCCGCGATGTCATTAAAGCAAGCATCAAAGCGTTCTTAATGTGCCGCATATAATCTTACGATTTGCATTGAATAGCTCGTTAACATGCTGCACGGTATGGCGAGAGAGAACTGTACTGTGGTTTGCGCGATACATCAACCCAGCAGTCAGATGATTTCGCTCTTCGATGACATTATGGTACTTAACCAAGGTAGAAGTATGTACTGTGGTCCAAAGAGCGAGATCTTAAATACGTACAGCATTGCCGGGTTCACGTGTCCCAGCTTCTACAACATAGCAGAATTCGGTAACGTTGATTCTATCGATCCGACTTAATAAGTAAATTACAAGGAGGCAGGAGAATTAGAAAAAGTGTATTAACATAAAATATTTTAGAGCTGCGAGCATTTTTCTTATATTTCTTAGATTTTTTCTTATTAATCTTGCATAGCAAATTTGTTAAATTTATTAAAAAGATAGAGTAACAAACAGACTTCCTTAAGACAGATGTATTCTTAAGAAAAAGTATTCAAAAAGTTTACCTTGCATAAACCGAAATATTCTCGATATCTCGACAAGCATCATTGCAAGATTATATAACTTGATATAAATACAAGTCTCAATATTATGTGCAAATACAAAGAAAAATGCTCACATTAGTTGTTTAACTTGATGTAGTATTGCTTATTACATGAATTGTGGCTTTATTACTTTTCGATGTTACACAACAATTTCACTATATAATATTTGTTACATAGATATTAAATGATTCAAAGCATATTATTAATTTGAAAAGAATGGAGAACAATCCACATGTGATATTGATTGTGTTTTCCTGATTGCAGTACTTGAGGTCATAACAGAGCAAAGAGGTGGAGATTTAGAGAATTTATACAAGATCTGTCGTGATGAATACGAAAAGTCGAGATCGCGCAACAAACCTAATGAAAATGGTAAATATGATGTTACATACTTTATTAAACGGTTATATATTTAAACGTTTCTTAATTATCTCGAGTTTTTGTTAAACCATAATAATTCATTAATAATTCATTAACAATTATTTTAATAATTTATACTAATTTATACAATGTTTTTTCCATCTTGTTTCGCGATGACTGGATAATAAAGGCGTGAATATTTTATTTAACGAGAATATCCACAATATTCTTTATTTTTAGAAATATTAGATCAGGCATTGAGTATCTCTAAACTTCAAGGACTATATCTCTTTTGCGTATGATATAAAATTAATGTTATTCGAAAAGCATAAAGATATAAAGCGAGACAATTCAAAATTATGAAAAATCATTTTTCAGTCACTAATAACTCAATAATTGGGTTTTTTTTATAGAATCGACTGATTCTAAGCAGAAATGTAAAACAGGCGACATAGATACGTCCATAAATAGTATAATACCAAAAAAATCGACATGGCAACAGCAAAAGATTTTATTTTCAAGATCTCTGATTTACATCAAGCGAGATAATGTGAGTAGAAACTATTGAAAGTAATATTCGAACAATTTGCTTGAAAAATCAAAATGCTATCATTTTGTGTGATTGATCTCTC